CTGGGAATGGTTCCAGGGAAGGGGCGTGCAGGAGCACAGGATGGTACCTCTTCAGAGTTCAGGCAGGTCGACTCGGTTCAGTTCGAGGTGCTTGTCGCTGGTCGTGGACTTGACTATGAAGAAGGGAGTTGGCCATCCCTGTACAAACTGGTCGGGAGCTGGAGCCGTTCCCCTGACGAGGCCATGGCAGGCCGAAACCAGTCAGCATGTATCCTTGGGAGGGCAGGTCGTGGTGGCTGACCAGGGCGCTTGCGCGAGCTGAAGCAACGCCTTGGTGCCGCACGGGCCGTGCCGCTGCGCCGAATCTCTAGGCCCGTGACAAATGGTATCAGAGCAGGACTTGGGGTAAAGCACGGTGGGGTGCCCCCTTGTCGGTCCGGGAGGGGTCAAAGAATGAAGACGGTGCATTGAAGTTGCGTCGATGTGGAGGAATCAATGCAGTTGGGGGGGAGAGCCTCCATCTCCCTAGGAAGAGGCGTCCGTTGAAGTTGCGCATTGAAGGGCCGGAGGGCCGCGCGCACCAAAGTTCGTGCTTAGTCCTTGGGTGATGCAAACCATGGTGAAGGGCGAGCATCAAGTCGGCAGAAGGCCATTGCTTGCTCGGGATGTCGCGGAGGCGGCATGACGGAGAAGAGTCACGTCCTTGAGGAGTGGACGTCCCCTTGGTCCGAGGCCTATCATTGGGCGAGTGCAGTGCAGGGAGCTGCACAAGGAAGCGATGGTGGGAAGGCGAGCATACCGCATGGAGGCAGACTTTGGAAGGGAGTGGACGCAGTAGTGAAGCGCCGCACTGCGACGAGGACGTCGCAGGATTTGGGTGGGGGAGAATGTCACGAAGTGATTCCTAAGACGCTTGGAGGATGGAAGACATGCATGCTGGTTGGCAAAGAGCAGAGTTTGACTGGGAATGGTTCCAGGGAAGGGGCGTGCAGGAGCACAGGATGGTACCTCTTCAGAGTTCAGGCAGGTCGACTCGGTTCAGTTCGAGGTGCTTGTCGCTGGTCGTGGACTTGACTATGAAGAAGGGAGTTGGCCATCCCTGTACAAACTGGTCGGGAGCTGGAGCCGTTCCCCTGACGAGGCCATGGCAGGCCGAAACCAGTCAGCATGTATCCTTGGGAGGGCAGGTCGTGGTGGCTGACCAGGGCGCTTGCGCGAGCTGAAGCAACGCCTTGGTGCCGCACGGGCCGTGCCGCTGCGCCGAATCTCTAGGCCCGTGACATTATGCCCGAATTTGAAACTGCTCGAATACAAAAAATGGGCAGCACTTGACATTGTATTTCTCATCAAGATCTCTCACATTCTTAATTATCTGTCTCCCTAATTCTCACTATAACTTGATGAAATCAGACATAAAAGGAAATGGAGTAAAAAGAACCATTTATGAAGAAAAGTGGGCTTTTACGAGGTAGCATTTACGGGATCTTTTATTTTCTCTTGTAGAAGCCCCATTTTACACATAAAGGGTCATGTTTTCATAGGATGTTAAAAGAATCCTCGTTAAAAACCATTTTCACTGGAGTTTAAAGAGCCCGTTTATGTTTACATATATTTACGGAGGATTGTCCAACTTTAACGGGGGGAAAAAGCCACTCATAGATAAATATATTTTTAAGGGAGTATTTTCCTCCCATGAATATGAAAATAAAAATCCCGCCCTCACTTAACGTGAAAAAAGCCACTCGTAGATAAATATTTTTAAGGGAGTAATTTCCTCTCGTGAATATGAAAATAAAAATCCCGCCCTCACTTTTCGTCTCCCGCGCGCGCAAAAGAGCAATGGTGAACAGCCCGCCTAAAGCCCTTTTTTCCACGTCACCAATACACAGACCACAAGCCCGGCCCTTCTTTATTTCCCACAAGATCTTCTTTCTTTCCCACGAGTGCTACTCCACCTTGTTGCTTACTCTGCTGACAACACCTCACTTGTCGTGACCCAAGTTTTTATTCAACCCGGTGGGTCAGTGATGACCCAAAAGTCCAAAATGCGGAAGCAAAAGATGTAAATGAGGTCTCTAGAGATATAAGTCATCTCTAAGACACAAGAGTGACACTCCATGAGGTTACAGAACTCAAGGAGAACGAAAAAGGAAATGAGAGTTAAAACGGGTAAAATCTGTTAATTAAGGGTAAAATGGTTAATTCATAAATATAAAGAGAAAATTGACTCTAAATGAGTCAAATAAGGTGAATACAACCTAATCTAATTATTTCACAACATTCCAAAATGTTCTAAGAACTTTGGACAAGAATCCCACAAAATGCCCTTTCCCGGTTTAAGCGAAAACTGACACTATCTCACTAAAATATGAATAAATCTCACTATGATTTGAATCTGAGAATGGCATAGGTACCATTGGAAAGATGACTCAAAATCCTTGAGTTTAGGCTCAAGAATCACCCCATTTGGGTTAAGAACAAGGGAGTTATGGCCTTTTGAAGTTGGAACATTAGTACTTAAACTAAATCTGGAAGACTATGGTATGAGGGCTATTTCGGTCGACCGAAAAAGAGTTTTGGATGCCGAAACTCACAGAAACTTTTCTGAAATCTTGTTTTTGAAGGGTGGTTACTTCGGTAGACCGTAATAAGCCATCTGTCGACCGAAATAAGCCATCGGTTGACCGAAATGGCCCTGAAAGGTGTTTTTGGCTACTGGAATGTGCATTTTTAGAAATAAAAAAGGCACCGGTCGACCGAAATGGTGTTTTGGTCGACTGAAACACCTCGAAACCTGCTGGAAGCTTTACTAAACATGGGAGATTTGCAATTGTACCTATAGAATTCATTCTACCCACATGCATAAGTCAAAACTGATTCTTTTTAAGGGAAATTAAGCATGTGTACACGTCAACATGCATAATATGAATTATTTGTACATAGAACAATGGCTCATGGCCTCATACACATCAATTACAAGAATCTCACATGCTAAACCTCCAAAGTTGGTTAAAATACATTTTTAAAGCAAAATATGGTTCCACATGAGTACAAGTGCTAAATTAAACATGCTTGGCCCTTGGCCTCATTACACACATGTCCAAAGAGTATCAAAAGGTGCACTTAAGTGCACATTACTTAGGTTGAACTAAAAATATAAGTTTTGACATAATAACCAAAATAAAGCGTGATATGCTAACAAGTGCACATTTTACTATAACAAAATTACTCCAAGTAGTCAAGTAAGCCTAAGAATGTTGTGTATCCCACAATAAAGCTTCTTTACCTGAAAAACACCCGGTAACTTTAGGGTGAGTAAACAAGTTTACTCGTAGGGAATGAGCATGCATAAACTTATCTTTACACAAAATTGCAATTCAATATCATTTAATCCATGCTATTAAAATGACATTGGAACTTTTAACATAGCATAATTAGATGCAATTTCACTAAGTTATCAACTTGGAAATTAAAGTGCGAAATCAAACCAAAGTGGATACTTGGATATTGCCCGAATTAAAACCATACTCTTAAGATCACTTTAGGGCTATTAACCCAAGGGTACCTTCCCCTAATGTGCACTATAGTGTAGGGAGCTCTCTATCTCCTGTACTAGAACCAAGTCCTAGCCAAGTCATGTTCTTGATAATATCATAAGTTTCCAAAATCAACAAGTTGAGCAACAAATCATGATATGTGATAAAAGCACAATAAAGCTCCATAAATTTCATGAATAAATCATTAGATCAATAAGATAGAAATTAAGTAGACTAAATAGTTAATTTCCCTAGATTTCAAGAGTTGTCCAAATGATTCCAATTTAATATATAACAAGGAGTAAGTCATGACCAAGCCATATTTCAAGTCTAGTATGGAATTCAAGCTTGGTATAATTAAGTAGAATTTAAATCAATTTACATTAATTAATTCTCTAGATTTAAAAGCTCATTTAAATCATGCCAAATTAATATACCACAAAGATCAAGTCATGGCCATGCCATATATCAAGTTTAAAATGAGTTATATACAAGCTACCATTAGTCATTAGTTATTTAATTTTATACAATCATGCATACAACTTATACATCATTAGAAAAACAATAATTAACTTGAATAATAAACTAGAACACCCCTTACCTCACAAGATAATTATTCCTCTTGAATCCAAGGGAAGCAAAGGAATTTCAAGTTTTCCTTCTACGATTATGAAGAGGAAGATGAGGCAAGGCTTTTGTATTCCGAGCTTAATGGTCTAAGGTAAGTGGAAGGAGGTCAAAAATGAAGTTAAAGCCTTAAACCATGCTTTGCCTTCAACAGTGGCTAGGTTAGGGTTCTTGAGAGGAAAGGGATGAATGAAAAAGAAATGAATACCCTAAGCTAAATGTGATGGGATCCTCCACTCACTAGATGCTCTTACACTACCTCTCTCACACACACAATGCAAGACTAAATGTGAGACCTACACTTGTCATTAATCTAAGTAAAGTTCCAAGACTTAATATTAAGCCTACACTTGTCAACCATCCTTGCCAACAAGTGCTCATATCCTAGGCCAACAAATGGGTGAATCTCCACCCTCCATGTGTCATGAGATTAAGCCTCTAAGTAGTTTCACCACAAGATCAACAAGTGGCACCATAAGAATGTGACACTTGTCACATTTTTCAAAATTTGCAAAAAGGTCCTTTTTAAAAATATCTTCCACATTAAATTACAAAATGGTTCTTAAGACGAAAAATAATTACTTTGCATAATTACACTAAAACCTCAAAAGTCAAGAATATTACCAAAAAGTTATGCATCCAAAACCTTTACAAGAAAAGTAAACATCTAGCATGTTTTCCTACAAAAGTAAAAATGTAGATATCATGGAAATTGAATATCATGGATGTATGCAAAGACATAATCAAATTCGAGCACAAAAAGTGAGGTTATATAAGGAAAAATGATAAACTAAAAAAAAAGACGAAATAGGGAAAAAGACGAAAAAAAAAATTACCCAAAAAGAAAAGAATGAAAATGACCGGGTCATTACACAGCAGCCAGTCTCTCAAATTGCCTTAATCCTTTTGTTTCTTCCATTATCGATATCATCTGGTCTCACTTCAAGAAATCAGATTCAGCAGAAGGTCCGCTGTGTGAAGGCCACATCTTCTGGTTCGACAGGAAAAGGAGAGTTGAGCTATCTCAACCAATTTTTACCTTGACCAACACAGAGTTCAACCCTCTCTTTACTCTTTAGAACCAAGGATCCGGACTTAGCTTCATTTTTCAGGTAATCTACAATCCCTCTTTCTCAAACATTTTAAGGGTTTTCTTCAATCCCTATTTCTTAAACATTTTTAGGGTTAACTCATGCATATTTTTTTTCTTGGTTTATTGTCGATTTTATTTGCTGAATTTGCTTTGGTTGTGACTGGATTTGGGTTTTTTTTGTTTTATATTTCATTATTGAATGGGTTTCAGTTTTTATTTGCATTCATATAATATATATATATATATATATATATATATATATATATATATATATATATATATATATATCCTCCACTAATCTGTCCATGCCCACCACTTCCTCTAACTCTTTCTGGATTTTTTTTTATAATATATGTGCATCACCTACAAACTTGTCATCTGCAAGCCTCGAAGTAAATTTGATATATATATATATATATATATATTCTTTTTGGGACTCAAATTATATGGATCTAAGGTCCAGCGATGGATCAAAGGCTGCGTAGCTCCTTAATATATTTTATAAATTTAAATGAAAAAATCGAATAAGAAAATTCAAATAAAGATTTAATACGTTAATTATTGCATTAATTGTCACTGATTAAGTCAACAACTATAGTTAATGCTTGCTTTAAGTTCTCTAGCTAGCTTACAAGAATAAGAAACATTCCTTACAATTTTTTTGCATACGAGAGTACAAGTTTGGCAAAGGATTACTTAAGAATGCATCAAGTATATATATATATATATATATATATATATATATATATATACATATACACATATATGAGTCAAGAATGAAACTATAGCATAAATAAGAGTTGATTAAATGTTGTCATTATTAACTTTACTTTTTTTCTGGGAAGAATTTTAAGCACTTTCCCTCCATTTAGAAATAATTGCTTACCAAAAAGTAGAGAATAATCATCTAATTATATATGTTGATGCTCCTAAGTCAAATGTTTAATTTTTTTAATTTTAATGCCCAATTAATTGTTTGATATGAAGGAAGGAAGGAAGGAATACAAAGAAAAGATGATTAGAAAATAAATAATTATTTAATTTTAGCTTGTACAAAGTATTTGTCGGGAGAAAAGTGAAAATGACCATATGTGATAGGCTGATAGTGTATAAACATTCTCATGCCACATTGAGGGCTCAATACAGTGACCTTGCAGCAAATGCACATAATCACAATATTAGAAAATTAATAAACCAATTACAAACTTAAGCTTAATTAAAATATTCTCTTGAATTTCCTTTTTCATAAATATATATAAATAAAGTTGTTAGTCTTGTGCCCCTCATGTTTGTTAAAACACCTGCATTTCAAGATATTGGAAAACAAAACATTGATCATCCTGGCCCCAAATAATCCAAAATTGATCTTCAAGAATGAAGAAAACGGTATGATTATGTCCCCATTATCCCCAATTCTTATACTATATGATTGGCCAATACATAGGTAATCTTTTTTATTTTTATTTCTTTGTTTTATTTTATATTAGTGTTTGGTCCAGAGGCATGAATACAAAATGTGTATAGATCAAAATTGAACAGAACCTATGATGACATAGAAATAACCCACTTTGATTTAAAAAATAAAACTAGCTTGCACGATACTACTAATTACCTGATTTTTTCAAATATTATAGTTAATTAATAAATTCCTATTTTTGGAACATTTATTATTAGAGATGTTTTATTTTCAGTGCCAGGCCTTTGGTTTGGATGCTTTACTTTCTTGTTTCATAATGTCCACTAGTTTGCGATGCTTAATTTTATTAATATTATACTTCTCAGTAGCTACCACTTAATTGGAATTGGAACTATATACAAAAATATTAATTAAACGGTAGAGAATGATATATGATCCTCCCAAACACTAATGTATATATGACATCTTTGTTTACATTCCTAAATGACCAAACAAAAACTATTCAATGATAATTGTCTGTGTGCGCGCGCGTGTTCAGTTAACTATACCTAATAATTTTTTTTTAGAAGTGAGCTAGCCTAGAAAAGAAAGCACATCAATAATATGGAAAGGCTAAAGCTGTATATGAACATATGTATATATCTAAAGAATATATATAATTTTGTATTAATTTCACTGAACCTACTTCTTACAGATTGTTATGAGTGCGTAACAAATGAATGCCACCGTAAATCTGATTTAAAATCAGTAGTAAATAAAAAAATCTCATGCTGACACACACAACACGCGCGCCCACACACACACATATATATATTCAAACTAGTTGTGTTCTACAATCTGTCAAACTCAATTTTGATATATAGTGGTCACCAAGCAATGGACCAAATTAATTCTCCATACTAGTTGACTGTGTAACAATATTCCCTCTAATCAGACATATATATATGTATAGATTGCTAATATATATATGTGTGTGTGTATATATATATATGTATCAAAAAAAATTATTATCCCTCCCTCAATAGGTGCATACATGAAGGAAAAATGGGTCCAAGTCTCCAAGGATAAACAATGTGAAGTCTCAATCAAATATGAATGCTTCTATATATCATTGCAAAAAATATTTTACAGCCTCAATAATGTTGCTCTAATTAAAATTCCAACTAGTTTTGTACTTCGTATAACATTATAGGTGGTACAAAATTTGGTATAAGCTAGGTTCTAAGCGTGCGACTATATATTTAAAAATACATTGGCTGAGAATTATTAAAGAGTATGAATGATATATGTATACATGAATATATATATAGGCGGTTAGCAAGCTGTAGAATGGATCATAATAATAATTGTGTGTACGTATTGATGATATTGATATTGATATTGATATTAATGTCGGTGAACTATATTTGAGTGTCTTAAAGCTAAGTGAGTTATAGATGGATCCAAGCCAAGAAGAGAAGCTTTAAAGACCACTTTACTAGTAGAATTGGGGACTACTTATTAATTGTTTAATCATTGCCCACTCTTAATCAACACATCCCGAACTTGATGCTACTGACACTACTTAGTCATCATTCATTAGTCACGAAATTAAATTTATATACCTAACACTTTTAATTCATTACTAAGCTAATTTGGTTGTGTAACACTGTACTGTACTGGTCTATCCCTATCATTACCTTGTGGTCTCTCCCTCAAGTATTATAATTCTATTATTTCCAGTTATATATATATATATATATATATATATATATTCTTAAATTAATCACAAAAATCATCTAAGTCTATAAATTTGATATTGATGAAAAGTAGGTATATATATTGTAGATTCAAATGCATTAATGCAGCTTTCCCTCATAGTCATCCATCAAAACACTACGAATACTTGTATAACTACTTTCTGAATTTCCGAGCTCTATATTCTAACCACGGATAGATTTTGAATCTTGCATTGTCACTACAGCTAGCTAAATGCGTGGATGATTGCTCTGGGCAATGCATAATTGGAAAGGAAATTCGGAAATGGTAAATTCTGTTTTGTGAACACATCATAAGTGTACATGTTTGGAAGGAAAGGATCTCAGTAGAAGGAAGATACTGTTGGTTGTGTTTGATAGAGTTGAAGTTGAAAACATAAAACAAACAATTAATAGATAGCAAAGAGATTCTCCTGAGTTGTATGGTTTTTTGGAGGGTACTTTAAAAGAGTTGGAGTAGTGTTGTTTGATTCTCATTTACCACCACACCCCAATATTCCATACAATTTTGGTAGCCTCTCAATATTATTAATACCAAATTGCCTTTCTGTTTAACCACCCATTTATCGACCAATTTCTTTGGCTTAGTTGAAACCTCCCCTTTATGTACCCACTCCCAGCTTGCTTGGTGTTGTTCAAAAATTTCTTGTGCTTCTTGTTTGATTTGTTGTATAATATTACTTCTACTTTAATGAAAAATAGGTAATGTTTATTTTTAGTTTATAGAGGAAGAACATGCTACGAACACCCTTAAGAATCTAACCGGAAGATTTTATGCTGGTAAGTTCTTTTAATTTCATATTTTTATCTATTCAGTTTGGGTGTTGCATCTATATGCATTCCTCCTCCTGTATTTACTTGTTCCCATAATGTAATTTCTCATAATCTTAACTTATTGTGAAAGCATGGTTATATAGCCTACCAAATATGTGAAAGTTTTAGAGGTCAATTGGTCATTCATTAATTTTTTTTTTTTTTTTAAAAAAGTAGTAATTAATATATGATCTGATTTTATTTTATTTTATTTTTTATATATGTTGGCATTACATTTTTAATTTTTTTCCTCACATGATCTATTTTAACCAGTTTACTAGGAGCAGAACAAAATCATTACTTTTGAAGTAAGATTAGGAGCATAGTTCTGGTTCTCAATCTTCATCTCTGCCAGGTATGTTCTAAATTCATCTAGCTAATGAAGTTCATTTTTCAATTATCTCTATGTGAAGTCAGGTAAAATTAACCTGCCAAAGTGATCTTGATCAATGATATATTAAAGTCACATTGCTATAACTTGTAAGACCTATGTTGAAAAATAATATTATATGCGTTAAAATTAGATTTCCAACTTTTGTCAAGCATAAGCTCTTATCATGGCTATTACTTTAATGTTGAAAGCATGGGTCCTTGTCGTGGCCATTACTTTATTGCATTGATATAACATGGGAGTATGGGAACATCGTATGTGGAGGTTGTGTTTGATTGTTATTTGTAGTTGATTGTTATTTGTTGTTGATTGTTGTGAAGTTGTTGTTGGTTGTTGTTGTGTACGTGAGGTAGAAAGTTTTTTATCATTCCTCTCATTCCAATTTTGACCATCACATCACTCTAATAGAATACCACAATGTGAATCTTGGTTATCTAAACCCCAATATGATCCAACAACCTCCTCTAGGTCAAATCTCTCCTGGAGTTCAAGCTCCAAAGCCTAGAGGACTTGTGTTTAATTAGGTTTCACTTTTGGTTGGTAATTATAATAAAAGATATGTATTTCATAATCTATTTTCTCTTGTGCTCTCAAAAACCAACTCACAACTTGCAACATTCTTTTTTATTCTTTGCAGTAAACAATAATTAACACTAGTAATCGTCTAATAAGAGCTATTTTACTTCAAAGAGAAAATTGAAAGTTCAAGACTTCGAGTCCATAAAGGTCAAGGTTGGGTGTATGCATCTTCTGAAACTTCCGATGAAAGAATAAATAAAAAAAGTAAATAATTCCGTGTAGGTAATGAAGTTTTTAGATAGTCAATCATAACATAGAATTTTCAACAAATCCTGTTTTTTCTACAAGTTGAAACATTTAGCTCCCCCTATTTCGAAGCTAAGGTTGTGATTGTTTGGATTGTATTCAATATTATAATCAGTCGTCCATCAAAATTTGAACATAATTTGTGAAAAATATCTCATTTAATAAAATAATATGCACATATCATTAAAATCTTTCACCCACTTCAACTTAGAATCATGGATGTGGAAAAAATGTGTGACAGTTACCATGAATATATATATATATATATATATATATATATATATATATATATATATTAAGTAGGCAAAACATCCGTGTCTATGGAGAATAGAGCAACCTAACAATGGATACAGGTATTTCAAAAAGTTTGATACCACTTTAAAAATATTTGAAATATAAAAGAACAAGGTGGAATTTGGACAAAAATATAATCCCAACAAATGTAAAATGTACAACTTCAATATTATATACTGGTCATAGAGGAGTAGCATATGTGTAGTGTACAAAATTTTGATCGCTCAGACCTTTTAAGGTTCTCAATATCAAACATTGAATCTGCATAATTATCTCTGGATGACCCATTATCCAACACATTCGATTGACCTGAATCAACAAAAATAAAGAAACCTGAATGACCCATTATCAAACACATATAATTTCCTTCTCATTTTCTTATGTAGGAGCAGCTCCTAAGCAACAATCAAAGATTGGAATTGAGTTCAAGCTTTCCCTGGATATAGACCCGTCTCATTCCTGCCTTTTTCAGACATCAATTTCATGTCTTAGTATTTTTCTCCGATGAAGGAGTAGATTAGGGGCTCTGCTGAAACTGGATGAAATTTAGGGTTTACAAAGGGAAAAAGAAACAATCGTGTGTACTAGGTTTATAGTGAGGGAATCTTTTTTTTTCTTGAAGTCATATAGGAGGGAAAGTGGGTCTTTAAATAAATTTTGGCCCAAAAATTTGAGGGAAAGTGGCAATCTTTAAAAAAATTTTGGGCCTAATATTAACGATATAGCATATAAGTCGTTATAATAGAAAATGCCGACCTTGAAAAGAAACTTGAAAGGAAAATTAAGTGCAAGCCGTCAATATAACCATTTTTTTAACTTTTAATGACTTGCTGGAAAAATAAGTTGTGAATTAGTATATAGATGGCTTGTTTTTTATGAATGTCGCCAATTAAAGTAGTAAAATATCAATTTTCTTATAGTGCGGTCTCGATCCACCCCAACATACTTCATAAAAGGAGGTAAATTGCTCAAACTAAATGACCAGTGGTTCGAGAAATCTTTACATAGCACTAGTAACTATGTTTAAGTCAAATGAAGATCTAACTTTTGATATGTCTCAGTCTACTAAATCCAGACCAGTTAGTTAATTTAGTGATTTAATGTATATCAAACTTTTTGATGGATAGTTAAATCTCTTCCATTGATCATATTCAATATATGATCTTAATCGGTACAACAGGGTCAATCACATTACATGTCCAGATAATCATTTGACACTGGTAAGGTAAAGATATTTGGGTTGCTAGACCATGACACACACACATATATTTAATGCATGCATCAAGGTTAAGAGGTATACATACCTTGCTTTTTAGTTAGGAATATTCTTCTAATTTGAGTTACTTCCACTACTGCCACATGATATTATAACATTTTCAGATAAAAGAGATTCCATTTAGGGCATGAAATGCCGCATTGGCTATAATACCTTTTATGTCAGCAGTAGGAAGCACTGTACTGTTGAAGCTATAGGTTCGAATAGATTGACTGAAACCTAGATGCTGAACCAACACATTCCAGTCTGAGTAGTTTCTTCCATAATTATAGTTAGAGATTGTCAGTTTCACCCTCCAGTGATCCATGTAGTTGGTCTTAACATGCCAGTGAACTCGAAGTGGGCACATATGATCAGAGCATTGCACAATGTCAGGATCAGGTCAATTATAAAGAGCATTTTCCATTGATAAAGGAGAACTTTCTCTGTTGAACACAAATACGGATACAAGTGGTGAATTAAATTGCAAACTATAGTCTGGTGATAAAAAGATAATCACAAAACAAAAACATGCCTTTAGCTGCTTGCTCTCATAATTTAAGGATGCTGTTAGTAATAACAAACCTAGTGCATTTAGTAGTATTCTGGTCTGTTGCTCGGCATCCACAGCTACAATTGGGGAATGATGTGATGGTCGATTATAAAATGATGAGAGTGAAGCACAGCATACCGGTGTTTTATTAGCCACATAACTAGAATAGGTGCATGTTGATCTCCATGTAACTGAAAAGCGTAAAAATCATCGTCATACCATGGCTTAGACTAAAAGGTCATCAAAACAAGGCGATCCTTTGTCATCTTTCATCTTTCTTGTTGTTATGGAGGGATTAAGCAAACTTATGCGCAGGGCAGAGGATCTTGGCTTTATTAACAGTGTCAGTGTATGTGACAGCCTTAGTTTTTCAAGCCAGTGCGTCCTGTAATAAAACGAAAATTGACCCAATAACGGATCCAAATGCAGAAGCGAAAACAGAAAACAAGACTCTAAGAAGTCAAAGTGACCTTCCATGAGATTGTGGAACTCAATGAGAACTGACGTGGAAACAAAAGATTGAAAATATGACAAATAAGCCCCCAGGGGCAAAATAGTCATTTTACATAGAAATTGACGTCCCTAGAATGTATATTATTCCCGAGACACATCCATGACTTCTTATGAAGTCACGGAACTCAAAAGAAAGTAACGGAAATAAATTGAACAAAAAGCGGACAAATTTAACCCCATGGGCAAAATATGACCTCTCAATGGCCAAAAGTGCCTTAAAATGCAATAAATGAAACAAAAATGCAAAACCTATAACAAAATGGTGTTTAGCCCTTGGTCACACCTCATACATGATCATAAAGACCCTATCAAAGAAAAAGAATGGAATTCCCACACCCAATGCAAACATGGTGAAATAAGGACTTAACATTTTCCAATATTTTCATAACATTTCATGAAATCAAGAATTACATAAGATGCAATATAAATGTCATTGGCCTCTGGCCTCATCTCACACAAGTCAAATACATCGTAAAAGGTGTACTTACGTACACATTAGATATATGGAATCAAAGATACAAATTTTAACATACAAAGTTACAAATAGGATTTCATACTAACATTTTCATGAAAATGATACTTCAAGTCTACAAAACTTCTATGGCTTAGTGTGCATCTTGAATCAAGGTCCCTGTACCTGAAAAATGTCCCCACTACGTGGGTGTGTAACATAAAGCTACTCGTAGAAAATGAGCATGCATCGACCTAACGTTTTACAAAGTTATTTCATTAACTAAAAACAATTCAAAAGGGTCATGCCACCTAACGTCTATGTCAAAGGTAAGACTCAGGGAGCATCCTAAGCTACCTTAAAACATTTCTAGCATAAATTACATCATTCATACAATTCAAACAACATAGAAGCATGCTATACAAAGCAACAAGATATAAATCTTCAAAGCCATTGACTTGAAATCTAAAATGCGAAAACAACTAAAGTGGGTCATGCCACCTAACGTCTATGTTCCAAATGAATCTATACGATCATTCATAAGTTGCACTTAAACAATATAGCATAGATGTACTTATCAATATCAAAAACCTGCAATGATTTATTATAAATCATAATGCTTGAATGTACTTAACAACATAAAAAACCTGCAATGATCCATTAGAAATCATAATGCCTGAATGTACTTAACAACATAAAAAACCTGCAATGATTCATTAGAAATCATAATGCCTGAATGTACTTAACAACATTAAATCGCCAATAACTAAAACCACAAGTCATAATTAAACATTGGTTGCCAACTTGGAATTGAATGCGAAATCAAGTAGTGGAAGACTTGGACATCAAATCTTGGATAAAGCCAAGACCTAAACGGTTATTCTGGACACTAACCCGCTAAGAATACCGCCCTAAGTGCGCACTATAAATGAGGAGAACTCATACCTCCCGCACTAGAGCTAAACTCTAGCCATGTCTCTGTAATAATGTCCCAAGTGACTCCAAAATAAATAAGTTAACAACTTATATACGAAATATATATAAAGCACGAAACTACATTCCATGCATAAGTA